ACACACACACACACACACACACACAACAATATTATTGAGAACAAGTGAAATATGTACGAACGGCGAATAAATAAAGAACATGAATCGATGACGGGTTTCGATTACATGTCCACTGCTGAAGCCATATTCGGTTTCAATCCTCGTGATTATCCTATTTTCTATATTCTTTTCTGCGCGCTCTCTATTTAGAATACTTCGATCAATCATGCGTATCGAATTCAAATTTCTTTTTTCTTTCCTCAATCACACATAGCTAGCGAATAATACTTTGATAAATTATACATAAGACGCATAAGAATTATACAAAGTTGATAAATGCAATTATTACGTTCTAATTCCAACTCTAATTCTATACAAGAACGATAAAATATTGTTATATAAAAACGCGGCGATTTTTTTTTTTTTTTATATAACTGAACGAATACAAAAGTACTTTCAAATATCGATAGTGGATACTTTCTCTCAGTCGACAATGAAGAATCAGTATCGTTCAGTTGCCATCTGGTGTCTACTACAAAAGTATCGAATTGCAATTTATCTGTCGCGCACCGGTCGAATGGAAGTATCAATTGCCGATATTTGTGAATGTTTTGCGAATGTTATATTGTAATCATTTCTTTCTTTTCTGCAGCAGAAAACCGGGTTTTTTTCATTTTCGAGGTTGTTTTTTTATTGATGAACGATATTTGAACGGCGTGATTACATGACATAATCTCCAACAGAGGCAATCAGTTAGATCTTCTTCTATTCCTCCAATTTCAGAGATCAAGTTTTTTTCATCTGGCACTTCGTGACCAGAAATTAGCTCATCGTGTTGTTCTTTTAGAGAATTGTCATGATCAGATGGTTTGTCGGATTGAAAATTCTTGGCGAGAAAAATCGAATATCGATCGACTTTCGAAGGACTTTCTTTCGGAGGACTTTCTATTTCGTCTTTCCTTTGCAATATTTTATTATCTTTCTCCGCGTCGGAAGGAAAATCCTTGATGTCTCGCACCCACAGATCATCCCGATCGTATCGTCTTTGAGAATGTTTCTGAGCAATTTCTTGGAGGCTCTCCGTCTTCTTCAGGGTTTCCCACGAAGAAACAAGCGTGAGCTTTGACTTCGTATTATGATGATCAATCCAATGAGCGTTGGAGTACATTTTACAAGCTTTCTCTGATGAATCACCCGAGCAACTGTCCGTTCTAGAATTTGCTTGACAAACGCAATTTTCATATATGATCGTAGTCGGTTCTGCAGTTTTGTCGTCATTTATCTGCTTTGGAGCTTTCTTCAGCTTCGAGAAAAATGTTCGTACAAATGCCTTTATCTTGGACTTCGAGGACGTCGCATCCTTCTTTTCCTGCGCAACGCAACACAGGATATCCGACACGGTGTCTTCCATACCCGCGGTAGCCAGTCTTGTTATACTCGGATGCGTTTTCAACGGATAAATAGTCCTCCTTTGCAGCTGGTCGTTTATTCTTGCACGATCAGGATTTTCATCAAACGGCTGATAATCACTCGTGTTCTCCTCATGTTTGGCTGATGACACTTCCGACGCGTCCGAAAGTGTGAAGGGGAAACGTTCCTGGCTCCTCTTTTTCTTTTTCTTCGGTTCGCAATTCAAGTTCAATGTCGACGAAGACACTTTCTTGGTAAAGTTGGACAGCTCCTGCGTCCTGTGCAGCATCTGGAACGTCAGGTCCTCCAATTGCGCGACCTTCGTGGCTCTCAGACTCTGATCGAAACTCGACTTGTCGTCAAATTCAAGATCGTCGCTTCCGGCAGGTCGCTTCCGACCGCCCTTCTCGATTCCCGATGACAAATTCAATTGAAGATGTTGGAACGGCGACGAATCGCACGTCCCTCCCAT